CTGAGAATTCCCCCATCGTCCTCCAGGGCCCTCGGCAGCCAACTTCTCAGAAACAAGGTAGGGGGTGAGTGTCGCAGCCCTAGACTCTGCCTGAACTGTTGTGAACAAGTCAATTTCTTATCAATCAAATCACATTAAATGCATTAGGGAAAGTGGCTATTGAAAGCCCAAGAAACCTGAAGAACCTCTGGGTAAAGGCATCTTTGAAATGTGTTGGGAGTTTGGGTTTGGGATCCAGTCTGACAGTGTTACCAAGTGGAAGCCCCAGGCTCTGATTGGCCTGTGTCTCTGGAGCATCGACAGGGTGCCAGGCCCTGTGATGGGCCCATGAGGTGCAGAAGAGCCCCTGAGGGGTACGCTGAGGAGTGCGCAGGACATGGGGTGAAAGGGTGTCCCGAGGAGCCGTCCCAAGAGGTGATCACTGGCAGGGGAAGCAGAGTTCAAGGCTAGGGAAACCTTCACTCTGCCTGGGAGGGAGGATGGGACCCTAAGGCAGACTGGGGAGTTGTGGCTGGGAAGGGTATGCCAGGCAGACAGAATGGAAGCAGGAAAGGCACAGAGGTGGGAAAGCCTGGGGTAGGGCAGACCAGGACGGTGTGCAGGGGCTGTCGAGTCTGGAGCATTTTTCCAGTCCTCCTGCCTGGTTCTGCCTTCATTCTTCACTTCCATAGCCTCCTCCCCTCTGGTCTGTCTTGGGTAGGAGGGTGGACCCTGGGGTTGTAATGGACCTTTGAAGCTCCTGGACAGCCCCAGCTCTGCCGGGCTGGGTGAGAAGCCCAGGACATGTCAGCTGTACTTCCATTGCTGGCCCTTAGGCCCCGCTGGGTAGAGGCTGAGACTGGGCATCTGGGTGTGGGCATAATGACTGGCTGGTTGGCACACAGGAGTGAAGGCTGAAGTCCAGTGCAGTGACTCTGGGCCCAAACCCAGGCTGCTGTCCTGGATATTCAGGCCCTTGGACACTGGAGTGCTGGGTGAGAGGGTGTAGGGAGCTTCTCCCCGCCAGGCCCCACTGTTGGGGAGACAGCTGCAGGCCACTGATGCCACTGGGAGGGAGAGGGGGATGTTGTGGAAAGAGCCCCAACTTCAGAGTCAGCCAGGCTTGGGTCTGAATGTAGACTGCCAGTTCCCAGCTGTGGGGCCTTGAGCAAGTCACTTCATCTCTCTAAGCCGTCCCTCTTCTCTAAAGCAGGAATCACACTGTGGGTGACAGGTAGTGTCTGTGTGGACACTGTCACTGTGTGTCCTTAGGGACTCCTCACCCTGTCTTGGTGCCCATGGCCCTGCAGGAACCTGCGCCTGGCTGCCCCACCTTCCTGAGAAAGGGGGC